GGGGCCTTCTATATTGCGGGTGAAATCGCTTGGCACGAACCTGCACAATAGAGGGCCCCCCACTGTAGGTGGGGGGCACGACGGCGTGCGTGTGCAATCGTGGTTGATAACTCATAAAGAAAGCTTTCGGGAAATACGGCGGCGGCAGGGTTTAGCCCGCCTTGCATGTGTCGTCCACTCTACCTACCGAAATGAGGCTCGCTCGATTTTGCGCAATCGCTTGGGGCGTTATCGAGGTACAGTGGGTGGGTCCCGGCATAAGTCGGTGGTGGGGAACCTGATAGTGACCGCCTTACGTCGGACAGCCGCCTTAGTTCAATGTGTAGAACAACTTGAGTATTCCGTCTATGCCAGCCAGCTTCACCCGCCTTATATTGGGCGAACGCCGTATTCAGACCGACCTTTTCCGAGGACACCCACTGCTGTAGGAGGCATGACGACGCAATTTCGTGCACACGCGGGGGTCGAATAGCGTACAGAAGATGTCGGAAACTGCCCCAATACGGCAGGCGGCGGGTATGGCAGACGTCATCCACTAAAACGATTTCGGAGATTTACTGAATTTTTTGCGAAGAGCATGCGCCGTTCACCGTCGAGGACCCTGTACACCCGGTGGACCATTAGCCGAGTGTAGACGTTCAGCAACCTCGATCTCCGATTTTTTGTTCAGCTTTTGATGAGCGTGGTGTCACTTTCGTTATCTGTGGCTCGCATGTTGCTACGAAGCCGCGTTAACATGCTCGTAAAGCCTCGTTCTCTTCGAAAAGAAGTCGACCGAAAAAGCCGCGACGAGAACGTTGCTTTCCCCGACAGACCCGTACCGTCCCTCAATCCATCTGTCCCGCCCCCGAGTGCCAGGATCGCCGAGCATGCTTCCCGCGGTACACGGGTTGTTCCGCAGAACCGTACCACGCAACCAGCAACACCTTTCACGCGCCTTTCTTTTCATCATCATTGCCCCCGCGTCTATGTAGGAGAGACTAGCAGTCCGGACGTCATCAAAGTGCCCACCAACGACGTCGAGCTTGATGCCAACGGCTGACCGTCGGGCCCGAGAGCGATGTGAGGACGGGAAGCATGCCGGCTCTTCGCAGGTACAATCTTAAAGAGAAAAAAGGGGTGCCGCTGCTGCGTATTGATGACAAGCCTCGGGGAACGCCAGCTCAAAAAGAAGAGTGAGGGTGTCACGTAAAAAGTCAAAAAGGGGGTGCCGCTGCTGCGTAGTGATGACAAGCCTCGGGGAACGCCAGCTCAAAAAGAAGAGTGAGGGTGTCACGTAAAAAGTCAAAAAGGGGGTGCCGCTGCTGCGTAGTGATGACAAGCCTCGGGGAACGCCAGCTCAAAAAGAAAAGTGAGGGTATCACGTAAAAAGTCAAAAGGGGGCGCCGCTGCTGCGTAGCGATGACAAGCCTCGGGGAACGCCACCGCAAAACGAAAGTTAGGTAATCACGAAAAAGATCGGGGAGGGGGCGCGCAGACCCTAACCCTAACCCTAACCCTAACTCTAACTTGACCGGTGCTATACTTTATATAGTATGTGTGCTTACTTTGAAGAACCTGCGTTGACCACTGAAGCTCGGAGGGATGATAACAAAGACTGCTGCAATTTTTGCCTCGTTTTTTTCGTCGGGGTCCATGTCGTGCTGCTTGCCGTGAGGGTTGGTCCCTGCCAATCGCGCAACTCGTCAACGGCTATGTACTGCTCTACGGCTTAGTCGTAGGAACCTCGTGCTTGCTGTGTACAAGGGTGCCCCCCTGCCCATTACACCGCTCGTCAACGGCTATATACTGCTCTACGGCTTCGTCGCAGGGATTGGGCAGACCAGCCCGTTCGCTCTGTTTCGTAGTCGAATGTATGTGGACTATAGAAGCGACTAACTTTAACTTTTACAGGAGCCGAAACCAAACCATTAGACTAGTCAGCGCTGACTTAGGGTTAGGGTTTGATTTCGGCTTCTATAAGACAGATCACGTGACTTGGACGTCGTAGACGATAGTGCTTGCTTAGAAGTGTTTTCACGACATGACATGTGGTTGATCTCACTCTCCAAGAATCGTGAACTTGACTTGGTCGCTCCAAAGGCACCAAAGGGTGTTACTGGCATGAGCGAGTAAACGGCACAGGTTGCATATCTTTCGCTTATTGCCGGCATGACCGATTTAACAGCACAGGTTGCATATCTTTCTCTAATTCATGGCGTGACCGATTTAGTAGCACTGGTTACATATCTTTCGTTTTTTACTGGCATGACCGATTGATCAGCACAGGTTGCATATCGTTCTCTAATTCCAGGCATGACCGAGTTTTTTACAGCACAGGAGGTCACGTATCCTTTGCTCATTACTGGTATGACCGATTTAGCAGCACAGGGTAACTATCTTTCGTTCGAACGGTTGCCTGCCTCTCCATTGATATTTCTGGCGTATGGCCGATTCAGCAGCACAGGTTACCCACCTTTCGTATTACTGGCATGACAACAGCGCAGGTTACGACGCACCTTCGCTGTTTGCTGGCATGACCGATTTACCAGCACAGGTTTCACGTACATATCGTTCGCTTAATATTGGTGTGGCCGATTTCACACATATTTCGTTCGGACGACGGCCTCCCTCTCCCTTTGTTATGGCACACCCGCCTTCCTCCGCAGGCGCAACCAACCGGAGCGCAGCAGGGGGCCGGCGGCGCCAACCCTCTGTCCGTGATGCGGGCGCTTTCGTTGTGGCCTCCGTACGCCACCACGGGGAATCCCGGCCAGCTCGCCGCCCTCTCGAGACAGTTTGCCGCCGCTGCTGCTGCTGCTGCCGCTGTGGGAGCCGCCCCGAAGGCTCCGGTAACCTTCCCTTCGGTGGCTACTGGGAACCGGAAGCCCGACAATCCGGCGTTTGGAGGTTCTGCCGGGGTGTTGGGTCAACTGGCAGCGGCGGCGGCGGCTGCTGGACGAGGGCACACTGGGCGTGCCGCCACCGCCGCCGCCGCCACGCGACCCCGCGGGCAGCAAGCGCGAAAACGACGAATGCTTGGCTCGTCGCACCCGGACGGCCAGTGGGCAAGTGGTGCATATCAAGGGGAGGCCGTGCCTCCTGGCGACGAAGACGAAGACGAAGACGAGGCGGTAAGTTTCTTTTTTTTGGGAGGGGTGGGGGAGAGTACACATAGTCGTGCCTGCCGTACAGTAGTCGTTAGACCATTGACCATTGGAGCACGCCGGGTTCTCACCGGACCAGGCTCTCGCATCACCAAGCGCGAAGCGCCGTGAAGGTATTCGGCGAGTCGCATGAAGGGTGCGCTGCATCCTGCTAAGTTTCTTCAGGGGGGGGGGCGCTTTCCGAAGCGAGTTCGAAGGCATTTAAGATTGGAAGATATACCGTTTCAAATATTTCGGGGTCCTACTTCCCAATTTTTCGATTACTTCCAAATGATTAGAAGTAGGACAATGAACCATGTCTAAAACTCCCCTTACAACTGAAGTTTCATTGTGCTGCGTTTTGTACAGAGCGTTTTGTTCCAATGTTTTGTAAACGTTTCCGAACGAGGGAACTTTCCGAAACAGGGAGTTCGGGGGCGAAAGTTAGGAAACTTTCCACAAAATTTGGAGGTTACTGTCCCAAGTTTTCTGGGCCCTACATGTACTCACTTCCACATAAAAAAAAACAAAACATTTCCTTCCAAACTGAACTTTGGAAGTAGAAAATTTGGAATGATCAGCCATGTTGAAGACGTCCCTTGTTCACCTGCAGTTACATGGTGCGGTGTTGTTTGCTTTTAGTTTCATCCTGTTGCTGTGGCTTACTTTTTAACTTCATGGTGCTGCGTTGTGCACGATAGAGCTTTGCCCCGATTCAAACGCTTGACAATAACGCTCCGCAGAGACATCGAGGCTCAGCGGTCGCCAACAGCTCTTCGGAAAATCGCATTGGCAGCTTGCCGGCACACGGAGAGACCGGCACGGGCGCAGCACCTGGGGTACCTGACCGGTACGATACTCTGGACTTTGAAAGGAGCATGGCATTCGCAGGGTGTTTTTTCGAATATGTAAACATGTTAGGATGGAGCGTGCACTCGGGGGAGTTGGGTCAGGGGTACAACTAGGGTCTGCGTACCCCGTCCCTGTCCTGTTTCCTCGTTAAACTTGAAGTAATTATTTTCTTAAAAGCCTGTGCTTCATTGTCTGCCGAAGAAGAAGCACCCGAACGAGCCATCTTGCCTGACGTGACTTGTTGACGTATACCCCTCACTTGGTGCCCCTCATCCGAGGCGGTCGGGCCCTTGGAAGAGCTCAGTTCCACGTGGTCCTTTGTGGATTAGTGGATACCGCGAATACAAACTGGAAAAGTCTCTGCCTCATCTGGAATTCCATGACCGTTCGAGAACCGCGTATTAAGTGGTAGAAGTCGGGCCCTTGGAAGAGCTCAGCTCCACGTGGTTCTTTGTGGATGAGTCGATACCGCGGACACAAACTGGAAAACTCTCTGCCTGATCTGGAATTCCATGACACTCCGAGAACCGCGTATTTGAGTGGTACTTCTACTTGATTTCAGCACTGCCTTCGGTGGGCCGAGTTTCGTCGAAGAAGTATTTGTGCATTCATACCAAGGCGATGCTGTAGTTCGACAACGACCCAGCCATCACCATTACTAACATCACGACAGCTCTAGAATTTTTTTGAAGAAGCGCAGCAGTTTCACGTAGCACGGACTCAGGAATGATCTTGCCGTCGTCGGCGATGCCCCAGCACGGTAAATCAGACACCCAAGCACAGTTCGCGCCCGCACTACTGCTGTAGAACCTCTAGTTTTGGCGGAGGCTAAGGTTCTTTGTTCCTGTAGGAACATGTTGCGAAACGCCACTACACTCGTGGCTCCGATACAAAGAGGGTACCTTATGTGAGGGGACTCCGATATAAGAGGGTCGAGGGCCTTTGTCACAACACCTCTTGTATCGGAGCCACGACTGTATCTAGGTTTTAGTGTCGGGATTCTTGCCCTCGCTCCTAAACGGTGATCAAGTTGTTGGATTTTGAGTTTGTCGAGGCTGTATCAATTTCTTCATTAACTGCCAAGCTCTTGAGGGCGAGCGCCAACCTTACCGGGTGCCAGTGACGATGTCAGTCACGATGACACAATCTGACGAGGGGTTTACGGGCCCAGCAGTAAAGCGCGTACGGAGGATTTCTTTCTTTCTCCTCGGGTTCATATATATATATATATATTTCGTCCTTACAAAGGTGTACCCCTCTTTGGGCAAACAGTGGGCTTGTGGCCACGGAAAGAAGGCGCCCGCGTCAGTTGGACCGGTAGGTACGGATATTAGAAGGTACCGAGCGGAGACCGGAACGGTTTTATTTGTGAAGACAACAACAACAACAACTAGTGCGAGCTCGTTTGTTCAATTGTGACCCGGGAGTTGGCATGTGGGGAAAGCTCTTCTGACGCGGCGCGCAGGACATGATTAGTCCATCGGTTGTTGCTTCGTGATGCCACACAAGACTTCTCTCGCTGTTTTTTTTTTTGTTTGCCACACAGGGCCGCGTATGCGGAAGACGAGCTAAGCGACGATCCAGACGGGAGCAACAATAGCGATGTCGAAGTGGCAAACCAAGGGGCAGCGGCCTCAGGATGCGTGCAAGCCGTCAACGATAGACACGAGGAGGAGAGCGGTGCGGCCACTGGTAGCGTTTCTTCGCGAATCACACGCGAAGCTCCCCGTTACGAGGAAGACGAGCTGAGCGACGATGACTTGGATGAGTCCGACTCGCTCTGATGGTCTTGAGAGGGCGGAATGGAACGAAGGCAGTTAAGTTCCTACATAGATATCGGAAGTTGTACCTGGCAGCTGTGGGTTACATCTTTGCGTCAACCATGTGTTTTTTGCCCCAAGTTTAGCTGCAGTGGCCGATTCGCTCTGAAGAACTTGATGGTAGGACAGACAGGGAGACTAAAATGCAGTCAGATGTAAGACGTACCTGGCAGCAGTGTGTATATATATCTTTGCGTCAACCATGTGTCCATCTGCCAAGTGTACCTGCGATGGGTTCCTTTGGAGACAAGCAACTCTACTAGGGTTTCTTGAGTATTATTCTCCTGCTGGCGCATGGCTTCCACCGCAGGGCTCAGCGTACGCCCACTGCAGGAGCACGGATGTCGCATCCCTGGACTGCTTGGCAACAACGCCGTGCGTTTCGTTATCACCAAATTTTCAGAGTTTATCCTGTTGGACCGTTAGGATCGGTTCCGGGACCTTTGCTCACCGTAATCGTGTACGATATTCCCCAGTGTTCGCTGTAGCTGCGGGTAATTCCGATGCCGCGAACTAGCTTCTGCTTCGAGGGGCTAAATTTACGCGAGTTTTGTAGATACAAGAGTGTTTTTGTTTTACCTTTTGTTGCGTCTGCGTGATCGGTAAGACAGAGAGAGGGAGGAAAGGAACGGCATCGTAACGTTACTGATGCAGAAAATCTTCTTCTTGACTAAGAAATATGGCACCCTGCACTATAATAGAGGCTACAAGGTTGTAACGGAAATGATCCCAACCACAAGCTGATAGAAAATCTGTGTTGCAGATGTCGGTTAGAATACAAACGCTCCAACTGCAGGTAGGAGGTAGAGGAGCAGCTCAAAGTTCTGTGAAACAGATCGGACCAAGCGAGACTGAGATGGCACCGTCTTGGACACGGCGAGAAAAGCAAGTGGATGGATCACGGCAAGGACGGGGTGGACCGCCCTGATTCCCGTCCGTTCCATTCTACCTCGTGTAATAGTTCTTGGTCAAAGTCGACGTTCGGTTCCTTTCTTTTGTATTGTTTTCATGGGGAAAAGACGGAGATAAGAGAGAGTGAGAGAGAGAACAAGTGCTGCTTCCAGGGGTGTGACAGTGTACCACGCTCTGCGTTGACGGAACGGGACGGAGGCTCACGGAATACCGTCCGTTTGCGCACGGGATTATGCACCCGCATTGGCTTGAGGGGAGGCAGGCCGTACAGCGGGCTACTTAGGCCACTAATAACACAGTTGTCGACCCTAGGTCAACATGGAAAGCCAGACGCTACGAAGTTTCTACAGCACTTCGTTGTGTATCGGACCTGGAACAGGCAATTTTTTTCGATTTCAGACTTTCAGGGGTTGGGGAGGGAAAGGTTTTGTAGCTCAATTCCCAACAAGCACACCGGGTGTATCGATCGACGTCGAGCTAAACCTATGAGGCAATGGACGCAGCCATGCCGCCGCCGCCGCGCGCTTGCAACGGGTTCACCTCTTGCTCTGCTTTGCCAACGCCAAGACGCTTGGCAATGGAGGGGGGGCAAAGAAGGCGATCTCAACTCTGAATATATTAAGCCGAAAGTTTCACCGCTTCTCAGCCTTTTCGGAGGGACAACTCGTCATCACAAGAGAATAACACCAACATGGATCGTGCTCACCGTGAAGGAATAACGAAGCAACAGCACAACTGAAAACCCGACTAACCAACAACCACGCTAGTCCTGTCGAACAAACCGTTCTTCAAGCGGACACAACGCAAACCTGAAACAAAGGGAAATGCCATATTGGGCGGAGAGATGGCACCCCCCCCCTAGACCGACTGTCAAAGATCGATTGTTCCACAACCAAATGGGTGCGGAAAGAACCCGACACGTCATCGGAAAGCCCTCAACGAGATTTTCCCGAACCACTAACATTGGTGTAGTCGAGTTTTTTTTAAATCGGTCCAGAGGGAGGGGTGCCATCTCTCCGCTCCGTACGATCGCAAGCAACGGCATCGCATGCCCCCCCCGCGGTTGGCACGAAACTGTCGCACAAAAGCCGACAACAGCAGTGTGGAGTGGGCTGAAACACTCACGCACGCACGTGCACCACGTCCAGTAGATCTCTTGCTACTGTTAAGCCTCGAGGCATGCTTCTTAATTAAGTCAAAAGTTTTGCGCAGCATCAGACAGCCTTATATGCACGCATCCGTTTTGCGACACGTCCCGCAGGATGATGTGTTGAGATCATTACAGCCGAAGATTCAGTGACACCCGCCGAACACGTATATAGAGTACCGAGGCAGAAGATATATAATCCCCGCAAAGACCTCTCGCTGCTATCATAGATCAACGATCCGACTATTATGACACTTTGCACCAAGCCGTGTGCTATGCCCATAATAGCAAACCTCTCCTACAGGGACCATGCCGCCGTCTCTGCAAAACGGTCGGGCCGGAGCACGTACAGAGCACAGAGGCGGAGGAATTAAACTTTACGTTCTCCCCTCCCTTTTCCAAAAACCTCTCGCTGCCGAATCATAGACCGACGATGACACCCAGCAAACCTCTCCCACAGGCACCGCATCGACGTCTCTGCACATTCCTAACCGCTTTCCGCGCGCATGTTTAGCACGAAAGCAACTCATATATTATACACACAGGGTGGGCGCTTAGACAATAACCACACGCCGTCTATCGATAGGCTCGTTCTTTGCCAAAGCAGCAGTGCGGGCCCGCGGACATCAAACAGCATGCACTTCGATGTTTGCCCTTGCGTTTCCGAAAACAGAAAGAGTGTTGCGGCGTTTTTAACCCCGATCGGTGAGGGGTGCGAATTTTCCGAGAATTTTCGCTGGACCTCGGGGGAAACACCTGAGAGGGCACTTGCTGAAGGCGGAGGCTTCGTGCTGGTGGTTCTTCCCTACGTGCAATGGTGTGCCATATAAGCCACCTTTTTCCAATGCAGCTAGCGCCCGCACTGACGAACTTGGCAGCTACGAAATAAACTCCATGCTCTAAACACTTCATCAATCTGAGCACCGTTTGGTGCGCCCGGTCAAGCACCCCTACGCTACAACCTATGTATCTAGCGGCCATTTGTAGCCAGCCCGCAAGAGGAAATGCAAAGAACCGGTTCAACACTGCGAACGGATGTTAGTTCTTACTGTTGATACAATCTGAGCACCATTTGGTGAGAGCCTGCTCAAGATCCCGGCTAAGAACTTCACACTACAACCTGTTATAGGTAGCAGCCTCTTGTAAGCCCTGCAGGAGGGAATAAAAAAGAACCCCCAGCCTCGGGTCAACACTAACGGTTCTTGCGTGCGGGGGCTAAACCGTAGGTACCGTTGAACATTGCTGTAGATGTTAAAACCTCTGCTGGTGGTCGTTCTCTTCTGTCGTTTCTGCCAGGAAAAAGCCTACCTACAGGTCGCCGAGAGCTTCGCCCTCGCCGCGTTCGGGTCTGCGACTACATAATCGCCCTCCTCCCTCCCCCCCCCCCCGACGACTTTTCAGCAGTCTGAGCAAAAAAAACGAAACTTATTCGTACAGATACCCGCCGAACGAACACAGAACAACTCATGCACCGTTATCGCCGCTGGCCGCTTTCTTCCGTGGTTTCTGCCATCAGGAAGTCGACCCACAGGTCGCCGAGAGCCTCTCCAGCGGAAGCCTTCGCCTCGGCAGTCGCCGCCTGCCGATCAGTTAGTTGTCCAGTTGGGTTTTTTCGTCGTTGTTATGCTGTTTTGGCGTATGTTTACTCTTCGCCCCGTCCAAGATGGGCTAAAAATTAAAACATAACACCACGCGCATCTGCTCTAATCCGACGCTCCAAGTAACCAACAACAACAACAACAACAACATCGGATGACGTCTAAAAGCATAGCCTTTACACGATCCGACGACGAGCGTCTTGGGGTGAGAAACAACCCGGGCAAGGACACGCGCACCTCGGGGTCATGGTCACCGTCCTGGCCACCACCCACGAACATCGCCGTCAGCATTCCCGGAAGTGTAGGCCCCCTGTTCGACAGCCCCACCTGTACAGTAGTGGTTTCCGGTATAATTCCGGTCGAATAATGCCGGTTTTCCGGAAGAATGGCGGTTAAATTCCTCTGGCACAGATGGAATTTTTCAAGTCGTTTCATACTCTTGAATAACGCCGGTTGCCCGCCATAATGCCAATGAAATCGGCTGGATCGCACCGGTATTATGGCGGTACCACCATAATTGTGAAACAGGTGGCGACGCGGCGACGACGCGTGGCAGAAGAAACAGCAAGCGTGTGCGGGGTGTCCTCAACAAAGAACGATTTAATGTCAGGGGCTGGAGCGTCCAGTACTTTTTAGCGCCCGCGCTTATGAACGAACCACTACAGCAGTAGTTTTCGGCGGAGGCCGGGGTTCGTAGTTTTCTAGTGTTTTGCGACGAAATGGCGGCTTATGTTATGGTTTTAGTGTAGGCGACACGGCGAGGTGCTTGTGTGCAGTATACCATGGTGAGCTCTCGAAGAGCAGCGTGCCATGGGACTGGAGGTGCTTATGTCCAGCATGCCACGGTGAGCTCTTAAAGAGCAGCGTGCCATGGGACTGGAGGTGCTTGTGTCCAGTATACCACGGTGAGCTCTTGAACAGCAGCGTGCCATGGGACTGGAATCCTTCCGCACAGAAGCAACCCAGCAGAGCTACACGCTACTAGGGGCAAACAGGCATAACTTGAGGTCCAAACGAAACAAAAACAGAGAGAGAAGGCCCGGTTACGGAAGTCCAGAGTCCAGAAACACGGCATGAGAAAACAATTTGCTTGTCATCAGAACTGAGATGGCTTTTCGTCTTCAGGCCAATGCTATTTCGTACGTTAGTTAGCGTCCGCGTCACTTGGACAAGAAAAAAAACTCAGAGCTGCGAGCTTACCTGCTCTTTTTCCTCCTCGGTAAAGTTGAACATTCTCGCCATGAGCTCCAAGACCTGTTTCTTGTGATGGGACGACACATACCTGCAAACACAAAACGAGGCCCGCGTCCACATGGGTGTTTGTGTGCTCATGATGATTCGGCATGCTTTAGTTGTTAGACCACTGACCAGGAGCCCTCGAGAGAACGGAGCATTGCTTCCACAGGAAGGACCGATCGTCGATGGCCAATCGTTCCTTCCTGCTTTGCCAAAGGTGGTGCTGTGTACTCGGATTTCTGCTTCCAAGTCTACAGGGTGTCACGTTCATGTAATCGAAATGCATGCCGTAGTAGTTAGACCATTCATCTCGCATCCCTACAACGCCGGGACGGAGCCATGTGCCGGGTTTTCGCCGGCCCAGGCCACGTGTCACAACAAGGATGAACCAGAAAGCCGCTCTATCATCCTTGCGTTTGCTGTGCCGAACCAGATATGCCATGGATGGGCTGATTGGGCTTACCGGCTAACCCCCGGCCGGTAGGCTATGTTTTCACCGGCCATACGTAGGCAGATACACATCGTCGTCGTTCACTAAACTGCACTGTGTACACTATTAGAGAAAATATAATGAGCGGACTAAGGTAGATCATCGACGGCATGAGGAAAACAGCAAACTGCTGTCGTTGCGGTTAGTTGCTCAGGGTCCAATGCGTGGCCACGCGGATGGGACCTCCCCCCCCTCACCCCCCCTCGCCCCCCCGAGCGAAGACAACGAGCGGAATTTTGGGGTAGAGGACCGACGGAATGAGCCAACCACAACTGCTGCTGTTGGGGTTAGTTGCTCGGGGTCCAATGCGGCGCCACGCGGATGGGACGCCCCCCCCCTCCCCCCCCCCCGAGTAAAGACAACGAGCGGAATTACCACGGGGCGACCCGTTGGGACAAAAAACACATGTTATTAATTTATGTTGTTTCGGAAGCATAAGGTGGCGGGCAGAGGTCAGAATGATACCGTAGGCTGAAATAAAACACCACCACCAACAACAACGACAACAACAACATCACCAACACCAACACCAACACCAACAAAAAACAACAACAACAACAACAACAACGACATCATCGACAACAACAACAGCGACAGCCGTAGCTGCACCAGTACAACCCGATTCGTAACAAGGCTGCGGATACCAAAAACAACAACACGAACAGCAGTAGTTGTAGCCGCTCACCGAACGGCAAGATTGGTCATAAGCTGCCCGTCCAACGTGCCGTCGCACCGACAACACAACAAAAACCACCAACAACAATACTAGTGACAGCTGCAGCCGCACCATGACAACACGATTCCCAAAAAAAAACCGGCGGGCTAAGAAGAGACGACACCAAGAGAAGTTCGTACGTGGCCTCTCTCTCACCTAACGATAAGGTTGGTCACAAGCTGCCGGTCCAACGTGTCGTCGCACGACCCCGAAAGCCTCAAAAGAGCGGCCTCCAACGCGGCTCTGCTCTTCGCCAGGTCCTCCTTAATCCTAGGGGATGCCAAGACAGACATTCAAATACAGTATATACAATGGGGGTCCCTGTTTAGTGCCGGTTGATAAGTGCCAATGCCCGGTATAGTGCCGGTGTTTCGGTGGGCACACACTGAATTTCCAAGTATTTTGAATAGCGCCGGTCCGGTATAGTGCCGGCTAATTTTCTGAGCACACACCGGCACTATACAGGGACCCCCACTGCACATAAAAAGAAAAATAGGAGCTCGAAAAGCGTTAAACCGCGCAGTCCGGGGGGGGGGGGGGCGAAGTTAAGAGCATGAAAGGAGTAAAGTCGCGGGGGTGCGAAGGCGGGAGGGGAAGAGGGATTTCTGAAACTGCACTGTCTGTGTGCTGAATTGACAAAAACAAACGGGCTGTTGACAATAGTCCGATTTCCGCACACACCACCGCCGCCGCCGCCGCCGCCGCCGCCACCACCAGTCACCATACGGTTTGGCCGGTACAATGTTCAACGTTTTGCGAATTTGTGTGATGACTTGAAAAAAAACATAGAGATGGAACGTGAACCAACAATACTCGCGATCGCCTCGTCGCGCAATGTACGTCGATGCATAGCCGCATAGTATTTTCTTGGCATGTTGACTAATACGAAGTAGGTTACCACATTGATGTTGCCAAAATGATCCACGAAGCCCCCCCCGAAACATAACAAACACAGCAGCAGTACAGATGCATGTGAAAAAGTAAAAACACCTGGCGTTATACAACACAGACGTACCCAATACGATAACATTAACCTGTTTTGATCGGCCGAAATGGTCGGTCACCTGGCGTAATACACCACAGCAGGATCCATACATTAGATGAAATAAAGCGTGTTTTGATTGGCTGCAGCGGTCGGTCACCTGGGGCTACATAACATAGCAGTTAGTACCCACACGATGACAAAAGGCGTGTTTTGATTGGCTGAAGCGGTCGGTCACCGCACCTGGCGTTCTCCCCCTCGAGCACGGCCTCCGCGCGACGGTCTTTCAGCCTGTCTCGCTCCAGGGTCTGCGCTTGCTCTGACAACCGGGCCTCGAACGACCTCTGCGGTAGGTAAGTGGCGTGGTGGTTCGACCGCACGAAACCCCAAAAACAGGGAAAAAGACAAAAATGTACTAAATGAGAAAACACATACAAAGCGATATCTGCCTTTAATCCGGAGAGTAGCATAGTCTCCCACATGACGCCCCCCGACGGGGTTTCCCAGATCATGACCTACAGAAGCATTTTGTGATTTCAACCGCAGTGAGACAAGACTGACGTATTTTCAATGGTCAGCCGGTTATCGCGGTCGATGCTAAAAAACACATAGGCAGCACATACTTCCATTTTTGGGACAAACGCCGGCGTCAGGCGGGCGGTTGTTGGGGCGTCATCGTATTTACAGCAATTGCACCAGAAAAAGAAAAAGAAAGAGAAAAAATGCTCGTTGAGATGCATCTTGCCTATATCCCTGATCCCCTTGCCTGACCACCTGAGCGGTGGCTGCCATATTACATCCCTAGGAAATAGTGAGATATTTCTCGCTGCAATTGGCCAAAGCCACCAAGACCACGGGAGAGACTAGGACGGGGGGTGTCGCCTCGATTGTCGGAGGTTTCGTAGGATACCACACCCACCCCTGGACCGAGTTTCAAAGCTTGATTACTCCACGACGAAGAGGATGCTGAAGTCAACAACACGTTTTCGGAAAGCTCTCGACGAGACGGCAGTGTCCAAAGCCGCCGTCTTCGGCACTACTGTCACTGCTTTTCCTGCCGAACAATTGAGCTTTGACAGCCGGTCCAGGGGGGTAGACATCTTGTGTCAACCTACGATAAACAACCGCACTACAAAGGGTACCAGACTGTAGTTCCATTGTGGACCGCGCGGTGCCGTGTCGTAATGGTTGCAAGGCATTTGGGACAAAACATGAGACAACTATGAAAAATGGGAGGCCAAAAGGGGGGAGATTTAGAAAAGGCCACAAGGGATAAGCTCACAAAAACTGTCGAGAGGGCCGTACAGGTACGGCGGTACCTTATGACGGGCTGCTTCCTGTATGGCACCGTCTTCTCAACTTGACCGTGTGACTGACTGCTGTACCATGCCGTACAATACCGTACCATACGACGGGCTGCTGTACCGAACCGTCTTACCTTGACCGTACCACGGGCTGCTGCTGTACTGTACCGTACCGTACCGCACCATACCGCACCATACCGTGCCGTACCGCAATACCATACGACGGGCTGCTGCCTGTATCGCACCGTCTTATTACGTACTGCTGCACCGTTAGCCATGCGCCTGACCCTGTTTTTGAGCCAAATTTCTGTCCAGCGGATGTTCTTTCGAACAGTCCATATTGCTGAAATTTTTATTTCATAGCCAATCAATCCCCGCATTTTTGGCAGCCACGTCAGTTTGCCAACCGAAAAGACTGAACATCGGCTGTGGTGTGTCCTGTTTTTTTTTTAGTTGACAACGAAATGGGACTGCTGCAGCCACCCCAGTTCCCACCCGGCTGTGGGGCTGCAGGGACATTGCATAGAGAGCAGAACAATCACCGCTACTCATGGCGTAGAAACGGTCCATTAAGCGGCAGTAGCACCGGCGGCAGGGCCGTTGCGCCCGGGCACAAATTTCAGATGAGCGGAAAAAAGCACCGATCGATGGGAAGAGTGGGTAGAGGTGGGGTCTGATTTTTTTCAAACAAGGTACAAAAAAGCAACTGAGCCGCCGCCGCCCTTCCCATCCCTCTATGGGGTTCAAGAGACATTGCGAGCAAAGTCAGACAATCAGTGCTACTCATGGTGCAGGAACTGGAGTAACAGCTGCAGTAGCGCCGGCGGCAGAGCCGTTGCGCCTGGGCACAAATGTCAGATGAGCGGAAAAACAAACACCGATCGATGGAGAAGAAGCGGGCAGGGTCTGATTTTTTCAATATGGTGCAAAAAAAAAGGAACCGAGCCGCCGCCGCCTTTCCCAACCCTACACGGGGTTGAAGAGTCACTGCGAGGAAAGCAGGGCACCCAGTGCTACTCATGGCGCAGGAACGGTAGGAAGAGCTGCAGCTTAGCACCGGTGGTGGAGTCACGCAATGTCGCCCAAGAGTCGGTTCATGAGCAAAAAAAAAAACAACGCATGAAAAATTCAATTTCACGCAACAAAATACGAGCTCCTTCAATAGCCGGCCGCGCCTGCTTCGTCCCCGCTCCCAAACCCCATACAGACCACCCCTTCGCACCCTCCCACCTAGCGATGCTCCCTCTGAGCTCGCTCCCTACGTTTTCGCTACGTAGACGGCAGTTGGTCTCCACGCCGTTGACCCGTCCCTCGGTATGAAATCGGCTGGTTTGTGGCTTTTTGCTTACAGCGTGGGACTTTTTGGACCGTGCGTCACCCAAAACTACCCAATCTTGGCATTCGTTTTGAGAGATGTTGGCGCAGCGGATTCTGGAGCGGTTTCTTGTATTACCTCCGTAAACACCAGAGCTACAATCTGATCGGACGCCATTGTGATTGAAGTTGCACACGATCGTGGCAGCAGGTGAAAAAGGCTAAAAATCACGTGTTTTTAGAGGGTTTGATGAGAAAGAACACGCCAATTGAAAAACTATCCGTTGACATAGATGTGTTCTATTCACGGGTGTGTACTGAACTGCAAGAGCCAGTTCGTTCGTGGTATCGAGTATTTCATGTTTCCCTCTCGCTGTTTAATATCAAGTCAAAACAAGATTCGGCGTCGTCAACCGGACGAGCGGAAACACTTTGTTTTGGCCAGAGAAAGCCGAATAGCCGTGCCACGCGCATACAACATTTTGGGGGGTCAGGCGCAGGGCTAACCGTACCGCACGACGGGCTGCTGACGCTGTAGCATCGTCTTCTTCTTACCTTGAGCGACAGCTCGGTCGCCTCGAACGATGCCGCCTGGGACGCCAGGTCCTCCTGTCGCCTCTTGTTCATCACCTCCACCTCCGTCGCCTTCTCCTCGTGGAACGCCTCCAAAACGCCCCTGCAAACACACACGCGTCCAAGAACAAAAAAAAAATGAGATAAATAAAAAAAAAGAAGGCCAAAACAAAACATCGCCTTGTCCTCGTGGAACGCCTCCAAAACGCCCCTGCAAACACACACGCCCAAGAGGAACAAAAATGAGATGAAAAAGAAAAAGAAAAAAGGCAAAAACAAAACAACGGCTCCCGCTTTTGAATGCCTCCAAAACGCCTCTGCAAACACACACCAAACAACAAAGGCGGGACCGCCTTCGCGAGGATTTAATTATCAATATGGTGGCTACCCCTAGTATATCCAAGCTTATAAATACCCTCGGGAGGGCTACTGCAAGCATCCGATATGGTGCTTTCGGTCGGGAGTCCTGCTGTGTGCATGGCCGTTATTCGCTCTCTCCAGAAAATGTCTTGTCTGGCAACACGTTTCACTTAAGCGCTTCACGAAACAGGGCTGTTGGCGATTCTTGCGGCCACAGGTTGTCAAAAAAGAATCACAGAGCAGCGACTGGTCTACCACCTGGTACGCACGTACTGCTGGTACGTACATAGCTTGCACGCCGAATACCGCCGCTTGACGTCGTGTTTTTTGTAACAAGAAAAGAGAGAGCGGAAAAAACGCACACCAACATACTTTACAAGGGGATCCCTCTGGAGTTGGGCTCATGAGAGCACAGCAGCGTCATCAAGGGGGTGATGATGCAAGACGGAAATACAAGCAGTAGCAGCAAAATCAGCCCACACCTGGCTACCAGCGGTGCCAGGCGTGACGCTTCCCTAGCTCAACAGGTCACACAGCTGACATGTTTTTTCTCTCGAAGACCCTGGCGATGAACCTCCACGTTCCAAAAAGAAAACCTACATATATACAACACAGTGCTTACACCGCCACCCCAACACAAAAACCGAACGCGATCTCGTCGTGCTTGCCTGAGGTTTCCTAGCGCAGCCTCATGGCGAGCCGTGTCCTGATTGGCCAGGGCGAGGTCAGCTCGGAGTGCCTTCACCTGAGACCTGAAAAAAAAGCAGAAACACACGCTTGAGCTGCTTTAACTTTAGCAACGAATCCAGCTTATATTCGTTTCTTGGCTCGAAATTCCAAGGGTCAACCAACTCCAAAGGCCTATTATTATCTAAGTACAAGTATTCCATTTTTATCCATACAGAAAGAGTCCAATATACTCCCGAGAATAAATTTAGCAACAAATCCAGCTTTTGCAAAACTCTTGGGCGTTGGGAGGTGGTTCGGGCGGCGGGTGGTGGTGGTGGTGGTGGTGGTGGTGGTGTGGGAAGGACACGTCAATACCTCTCCTTCAAAGGATGTCACGGGAACGTTTCGTGTGCCCTGGCTCTTGCTATCATTTGTTGAAAAAGCTCTGTCTTGAACCCTTGTCTACACCGTCGTCAACAACAGCAACACGAACAACAACAACAACAACAACAACAACAACAATAACAACAATAACGAGAGTAACAAGAGCAACCACGACGACTCACCCCAACCGCACCCAACACTAACACGACGACGACGACGACGACGACGACGACCACAACAACAACAACAACAACAGAAGAAGCAATGCAATAACGTCAACAAGAACGGCACCAAGATCAACATCAACATCAACAACCACAACAACAGAAGAGGCAATGCGATAACGTCAAGCGTCAACAAAAACGGCATCAACATCAACATCAACATCAGCAACAACAACAACAACGTCAAACGACAACAACAACAACAACAACAACAACAACAACAGAAGAGGCAATGCAATAGCGTCAAGCGTCAACAAGAACGGCATCAACATCAACATCAACATCAACAACAACAACGTCAAACAACAACAACAAACGACGACGACAACAACAAACGGTGACTCACCCCAGCTGCTGCTCCCGCTGAAGAGCCGCCTGGTGCAGGGCTTGCGAAGACGCGAGCGCCGCCGCCGAAGCTTGTTCTTGGCGGTGCTTGTCCTCCCGGGCCTCCTCGAGCCGGGCTTGCGCCTGCCGAAGTTGCTTGGACAGAGTCGCCTGATATATCGGGCGGGACAACGGGGGGGGGGGGGGGGGGGGGGGGGGGGGGTTTTGCGGTAGAGGGGGGG